TGTTTTGTTTTGTTTTGTTTTGTTTTGTTTTGTTTTGTTTTGTTTTGTTTTGTTTTGTTGAGACATGGCCTCTGTGTGTAGCCCTGACTGTCCTGGAACTCTCTCTACGGACCATGCTGGCCTCGAACTCACAGAAATCCACCTGTCTCTGCTTCCTCAGTACTGGGATTAAAGGCGTGCGCCGCCGCCACCACCACCTGGCTGAACCTATTTCTTATCTCTAGAATCATGCATTCCTTCAGTGTGCTTTGCCTTGTTTTAGTGACAGGCCATATTAGGGAATACAGTCAGAGGACGAAGGTGTGTCCCCTCTCTAAGCACACTGTGTCAAATGCTGCTGAGTGGATGAGGAAGCTAAGAAGTGAGCTTTCATGGCCTGGCTCTGTCTCTATACCTGTTTTTAAGGTGAAATGCTTCCTAAATTGGTGGTTTTCATGTTTCTCATTTAAAATCCTGGTGGGCCAGCCTCCTACTTTATTTCTAATTCTCTCTTTTGTTTCCAGCTTCTCTAATTTTATTTTTGCAGTTCTTAAGGTAAAACCTGTGATCTCTAATGCTGTTAATGCAATTACTGACTTTGTCTAAAAGCATCTAATAGTTATAAAACAACAACAGTAATAAAATCATTACAGAAAATACTCTCTTATTATCTGATTTTGAGACTGTGTCTCACTATGAACCTAGGTTGACCTCAGCCTTACTATGTAGCCCAGGAAAGCCTTAAACTCACAATCCCCCTGCCTTAGCCTCCTGAGTCCTGAAATTATATGCATGTACCACCACACTGAGCTCAACATTTATCTTTTAAAAAATTATTTATTGCTGGGTGGTATTGGTGCACGCCTTTAATCCCAGCACTTGGGAGGCACAGGCAGGCCGATTTCTGAGTTTGAGGCCAGCCTCTGGTCTACAGAGTGAGTTCCAGGACAGGGCTGGGGCTTCACAGAGAACTCCTATAAAAAAAAAAACAAAAACAAAACAAAAAAAAAACCAAAAAAAAACAAGAAACAAAAGCAAATATAAATAAACAAAAACTAATCACATAGGAGCCAGAGAGATGGCTTAGCAGTTAAGAGCACTGGCTGCTTGCCCAGAGGATCCAGGTCTGGGTTCTAACACCCAATATGACAGTTCCACTATCTCCAGTTCCAGGGGCCCTGATGCCCCCATCTGGTCTCCACAGGTGCCTGGTGCACACATGCACGCAAAGCACCCATACACACAAAATAAAAATAAATCTTTTTTGTTACAATAATATATAATACAGTGTACTCCGTCCTCTTAGATAAATGGTAGGTAGCATCCGTATGTTCTTTTCTATCTCTCCTGTCTTCAGTTAACAGTGTAGCCTGAAGATTATTTCATAGTAGTGAGTAGATGCAAGCATATCCCTCTTCTTCTCTTCACAGTGCACAGATGCTGCACAGATGGCAGCATGTAGCTTTATTTAAGTTTGGGGGAAGGAGACAGGATCACCTACTCTAACCTCCTGCCTCAGGATTATAGACAAGCTACCATGCCCTGCACTGTAGAACTTTTTGATAGGGAAACTGAATTATATACTCGTATCTAAATAATCTTCATTTGCTGCAATATAGATCATAAAATAATATTACTAGGCAAACAGAATAATCTAGCGCACACCAAAATAAAGAATAAGTCCCTTGGGGCTAGAGAGATGGTTCAGCAGTTAAGAACAATTGCTGCTCTTACAAAGGCCCTGAGTTCAGCTTGCTTGGCTCACAATAAATTATCATTCCTTATTCAGGGGATCCAGTACCCTACTCTAGCTTCTGAAGATACCTGTACACATGGGCACATATGCACCAAGACACATAAATAAAAATTTTAAATTTTTAAAGATTTTACAAGAGTAAGCTCCTGTGGGATAGGGGGTTTCAAAATGTCTAATAGAACACAGATTGGGGCTGTTTACCGTGACGTACATCAGCACTTGGGAAGTAGAGGCAGGAAAATCAGGAATCTGAAGCCAGCCTTGGACACCTAGTGAATTCCAGACTAGCCTGGATTACATGAAAGCTGTAGACAGCAGTGACTTAGGTGCTAGGATCGAACTGGAGAATGAAGTTCATAGGATTCAAACATATGGTGAAAGAGGATGTTTCAGGCTTAGAGAAATGATGCAAATAAAAGCCCAGACTCTAAAACGGAAAGGGTAGCGGCTGGAGGTATGGTTTAGTGGTTAAGAGCACTGATTGTTCTTCCAAAGGTCCTGAGTTCAATTCCCAGCAACCACATGGTGGCTCACAACCATCTATAATAGGATCCTATGCCTTCTTCTGGTGTGTCTGAAGACAGCTACCGTGTACTCATATAAATAAAATAAGGTGAATCTATTTTTTTTTTAAAAAAAAGGAAAGAGTGATTTGGAAGACTTTAAATAACCAGTAAGTTTTGAGCAGAAAGCTTGCCTAAGAGCAGGTTAGAGCATGAACCATGAATCCAGGATCGCTGTGAGGACATGGACTGTTACCCTAGAAAGTTCCCAGCCATTGACATATCTACTCAAAAATCCTTCAGGAGTCCCCAGTGACAGAGCTTTGAACAAGGACAGAACATCGAATGCTACAGGACCACTTCTAGAACAAACCACAGGGTTTCTGAAAGGTGCCAGAGAGACAGGAACTTCATTCAGTCCTGCTCATGTTGAAAGAAACATAGGAATTTGGAAGTAGAATAGATAGGGCTTGCCTGCATCCTCCCTTTCAGTTCTAAGGTGGAGGAGGAGTAGGGTGGGGATAGAGAACTACTCAAAGATGCCTAACTCCTCATCTGGGAGAAGATTCCAGCAACAATGTCAGGCCCTGGGTGAGTGATAGTCTCTCTTCTACCACCAAGCAGCCATGGATCCAGTTGCCACAGTGGGAGCCTAGCCAGGCTTACCACTTCCACCACATACATACCAAAGCATCGCTTTCTCTGTCACCTGTGGAACTATTTTAACCCAGAGTCTCCTCAAAACAAAGAGCAGAGGCAGCGAGGGAGGCTGAGCACTGTGCACACACACCTGCTACTGGCATTTCCAAGAGACTCTGGGAGGGGCTAGAGGATGCCGGCCCTTCTCTTGATCGCTTTATGGAGTCATTCCTGTAGAGTGGCAGGGAAGCAAGGTGGGGAGGGGGATTGTTTTCTGTTGTGGCTTCAGTGACCTCTAGTGTGTACATCTGATTCTGAGGCTTGCGGATTCTTAGGCCCTGCGTTCCGAGTGTGCTATGCTACGTACCCCTAACTGCTCACCATCTGCCTTCCTCTCCCACCTCAGGGCATCGCAGGCACAGATGTGGCTAAGGAGGCATCAGACATCATCCTGACCGACGACAACTTCACCAGCATTGTGAAGGCAGTGATGTGGGGACGGAATGTGTATGACAGCATTTCCAAGTTCCTGCAGTTTCAGCTCACTGTCAATGTGGTGGCCGTGATTGTGGCTTTCACTGGAGCCTGCATCACTCAGGTTGGGTGGGGCTCATATGCCAGGGATGGCTCAAGGGCTGAGGAACATAGGATAGGGGGAAACAGTGTATCTACTCAGGAGTAAAGACAAGGGTTTCCCAGTGCTGCTTGGACAGTTATCTCTACCAGGTTTACAGTCTCTACCTGTTCGATAAGCATGAAGATGTACCGACCATTAATTTAGCATTTGTTTTGTCAGCAACTATGAAGTGCACTTAAGTGGATTAACTTTGTCTTTTCAATGCAAGCTTGCAAGTCAGATGTTATTATCCCAAATTCAAGGTCTAGTGGGTAGTGGGAGCTAGGGCCTGCCCTTGAAATGTGATGATGGGCTTGGTTTCTGGAGCAAGCTGAAAGTCCTGGTTCTTCTTCCTACCAGGATTCCCCACTGAAAGCGGTGCAAATGTTGTGGGTTAACCTGATCATGGACACGTTTGCTTCCCTGGCCCTGGCCACAGAGCCCCCAACCGATTCTCTGTTGAGGCGCCGCCCCTATGGGCGAGACAAGCCCCTGATCTCCCGCACTATGATGAAGAACATCTTGGGCCATGCTGTGTATCAGCTCGTAATCGTCTTCCTCCTCGTCTTTGCTGGTAAGCCACAGTTGGGAAAGGGAGGGCAGCTATTGGGTGCTAGATTTAGTTAGGCACAGAGAATGGTTGAGAAGAGACGGTAGCACAGTAGCTGGTGAACAACAGACATACAGGCGTACTAGCAACTTTACCAGCGAGTGCTGCCTGTGCATTCCCAGCACATAGACATGGTGCACATAGCTTTCCACCATCCCACACCACAGGGACACAAACAGGAGTGGTGCCAACTGACAGACAAGATCAGATAAGATGAGACCAGAGCCAACATTTAAAATATTCCATTGAGTGGGACTGGAGAAACAATTATGCAATTAAAAGTACTTGTTGCTCTTGCAGAGGACCCAGGGTCGGCTCTCAGCCCCTTCAGATGGTGGTTCACAACCATCTGTAAATCCAGTCCCAGGGGATCCGGTGCCCCCCTCTGATCTTCAGCAGCACGGACATACATGCAGGCAAAACACTCATACACATAAAACAATAAAAAAATGAATCTAAAATTAAAAAACAAACAACATCCAATAACTAGTATAACTCAGAAACGGCCCAATTAGGATGGTCTTTCTAATGGTCATAAGCCATCAGTACAGCTGTCCCAGAATGTTCTGTCTCAAGCTGAACCCTTACTAAGACCACAGTCCCCCTCTAATAATTGTCCTGCCCTACCAGGCGACAAAATGTTTGACATTGACAGTGGGAGGAAGGCACCTCTCAATTCACCACCCAGCCAGCACTACACCATTGTTTTCAACACGTTTGTGCTGATGCAACTCTTCAATGAAATCAACGCCCGGAAGATCCATGGTGAGAAGAACGTCTTTGCAGGCGTCTACCGCAACATCATTTTCTGTTCTGTAGTTTTGGGCACATTCTTCTGCCAGGTAAGATTCTGTCTGGAGTTGGGATGGGAGTTCCGGGAGACAGAGGGAAGAAACTTGGGAGCTAGGACTCTCTATGTGCCCAAGATTAGGAGAGGGAGTTATTAAGATCAAAGCTAGGAGTGAACACCTTGGGAATCTCAGTCGGCTTTCCCAGGCACCTTGTTTTTAGAACTGAGTCAGTCAGGTTCTCCAAGGCAAGGTAGCATGTTACCTGCAAGTATGACTTACAGAATCCTTTCATGACCTTTCTGAATGTGCAGAAGTTCCATATGGTAACCAAGAGAAGGGTCACTCTCTTCCACCTCCTTCCCATGCCAGTGCATGTGAAATGTTTATGTACAGGTAGTGTAGGCTCCCCGTCTCCTGCCCTTTTGTTCTGAATGAGCTTATGACTGGAAATGCTGCACAAGTCACAGAGGAGTGATGGGTTGGTGCATACAGAGCTGCTGGGCTAACCCTGCCTGGGCTCCTGGTACGGAAACGAGGGTCAACAAAAGAACGTCTTCTTGGAACTGGAGACATGGCTCCGCAGTTAAGAGAGGCCCAGAGTTTGAATTCTAGCACCCACATCACTTGACTCTTGATCACCTGTTAATTCTAGCTCCAGAGGATCTGACACTCTCTTCTGGCTTCTGTGGCACATGGATCAGGATACAGACCCACACATAGACACAGACCCGTGCAAACACACACACACACACAATTTTGAAAATAAATCTTAAAAATTAGCTGGCTTTTTTCTCAGCAACGCCCCCCCCAATTACACACACACACACACACACACACACACACACGTTCCTCTTCTGTAGTGCCTTCTGTCTGTTACACACCAGCCTACATCACAGGAAGCCTCCAGCTTTCTCTCCTCCTGCCAGACCATATATTAATCGCAGTCATAATACTCATAGCAACTGCATGATTCCCATTTGAAGTGTTCTATAAAGATTGTATCTGTTGCCCTGTCTACAGTTTTTTCCTGTTCCACAAGAAAGTTAGGATTTGCACCTATGGGCCCTGCAGGGGGCACTATGGCCCTAGCCACCGTGGAGGTCTTGGCTGGTGGAAAGCCGACTCCCTGTGGCAGGCTGTCCTTTGCTCTGTTTCAGATCATGATCGTGGAAGTGGGAGGTAAGCCCTTCAGCTGCACAAGCCTCACCATGGAGCAGTGGATGTGGTGTCTATTTATAGGTATTGGAGAACTTTTGTGGGGCCAGGTGAGTGTGGTGTGCCTTCTACAGACCCCCAAGGCTGCAGACCTCTCCTCTCTGAATGAGAGGGACAAGGGGCTAGACCAGTCCCCAGCTCCTTGTTTCACCTGACCCTCCCCTCCCTTTCCCTCCATTATGATTTCAAGCTCCTTCTGTCTTGGGGTGCCAGGTTGGAGTAACCATTGCCTTCACTTCAGGGGCATTAGGTTCTCTGCCCATACCTAGGGATGGGGGTGGGGGAGAGCAAGCTGATGATGCCCGGGGCTGTTGCACTCTCGGCTGTGGTTCAGGGCTTTCCCTACCTCTTCTGTGCTTCATGGTGGCTGGTTGAATGCCCAAGTCCCACATGAGATAAATCAATGCTCCAGAGAAGAGGGGTGGGTGACACTCAGATCAGCACAGCCTTTGGAAGCAGCTGGGCTGGAATCACCCTTCTTTTCACAAACTGAGTAGCCATGGGCAAGTTACTTAACCACTCCATTTATCAGGGACCTCCACATAGGATAACAGAGTGACCACTAGTTGTTGTAAACTAGTAAATTCTTTCAGTACCAAAAATATGACAGTACCTGTTATAAGTACTCAGTGAATGTTGATATTAATTACAACAATGTCGTCATAGCTTCAATTTCCATCGTTCCCTTCATACCATGCTTAGTTCTAGCCTGGGCTGTTCTCTGCATCTTGAGTCTGTACTGAGTGCCCCTAGTGCCCCTTCACAAGCTAAAAATGGGATTAAGGAAGGGATGAAACTCTTAACTAATTGTGTTCCAATTCGTGTCTCAGTCCCTCCACTCCATATGTACAGTGTGTCCCTCTCTCTCCCAGCTTGGTTTGCCCTAGGCCCCACTTCTTTCTGATGTGTGTGCCTGCTTTATAGCTCTGTTCAGTTGTCTTTAAAAGACAAGGATCACACTGGGAAGGAAGAGATAGCCAAGGTAGACAGAGTGTGAGTGTGAGTGTGCAGACAGAGAGTGTAATGAGGCATGTGGCTGGGAGATTACAGGAATCAAGTCCCCTTCTGTGTGTCTATGAATGCTGGCACCTTCCCAAGAGCAATCCGCTGGAACAACGGGTTAATCGTCTGGGCAGATTGGTGCTTCTTGGTGCTACCCAGATGGGAAAGGCTTGTGGTTTAGGAGCCTCCCAAGGGCCTGGCTCAGGCCAGCTAACATCTTGTCTTCTCCAATGTGGCTGCTGCCCCCTTTGGCTGTGACTGCTCTCAGGTCATCTCTGCAATACCTACCAAGTCTCTGAAGTTCCTGAAGGAGGCTGGGCATGGCAGTGACAAAGAAGAGATCAGCAGGGATGCTGAGGGAATGGAAGAGATTGATCTTGCTGAGATGGAGCTTCGCCGAGGCCAGATCCTCTGGGTCCGTGGCCTGAACCGGATTCAGACTCAGGTACTCTGGTGGCTTGTCCTTACCCTGGGAGAAGAAATCTCCCTATCCTGGGAAAGGGTAGGAGAGCAGTAATCTTAGCAGTCACCTTTACCCCTTCGTAAGGCTCATTGTTCAAGGGCAGCCTGTGTTCCTTAACCTCGGGGCCAACAGGGCCAGAGGTCTCCAGGGGATTCCTCTAGGAGGGAATAGTCAACAGACTGGACCATGAGCCACGCACTGTTCACAGAGTTCCTCAGCTGTGGTTAGCCCTACAACCCATCCCACCTCCCAGGTTTGTCAGTGGAGCTGTCTTCCCATGTAAAGTGTAGTCCGGCACCAACCTTGACCCCAAGATAGGGAATATGTAGCCCCTTCCCTGCCCTGAAGGAAGAAATAAAGGGCCCTGAGTTTATAAAACTGGAAGGAGAAGCCAGCATTCCTGGTGGTCACTAGGGACCTTCATGCTGCTGTGGTGGTGAGAGCTGTTGTCCAGGGAGGTCTTTATTAAAGAAGCCACCTTCTTCCATTGCTCTGCCTTGATGCAAGGCCTCTCGGGAATCTAATGATTAAGTAGCTATAAACAGCAGTCTCTCGGTGCCTGATATCTTTGGAAGGATTCAGACTTGCTTCCCAAAAGGGAAATTTCTGAAACGGAGCACAAGTGAGTCCCCCGCTGTAGCCCTATTTCCCCCTCCCACCCCCCACTTTCCATGCATAGCTACCTTCTGGGTGAGCTGACTGGCCTTGGTGGTGATCATGCTTTTTCTCTGCTCCAACCCTTCAACCATTTGTTGTTTTAATCCCAAGATTCCTGAACAAACCATCAGTTCCAAGATCTTGAGGGGACTCTCCTGAGCAAGGCCTGTTTCTTCCTCCTAGTTGGCGAGAGATCAAAATATTTCATTTTCAAAAACTGACCTTTTGGCTGGTTTAGAAAATTGCCTGGCTAGCCTGCCTCCCAACCCCCCATCCCCTTTAGTGTACAGAACAATTGAATTCACATTTCAAACTATTTACCTGATAAGAGCCGTCCTCCCCTGAGGAAGTCACCAGGTAGAATAATGGGCAAGATAGAGGTCAGACCCTGGGCTCCTTTCCTCTGTCTCTCCTAGGAAGGATCATGATTCATAACCTACATATACCACCTCATGATATCAAGTCCCCACCCCCACTGAGTCCCTTGGGTGCCTGTAGGTCTTAGCACCTGGACTCCCATCTCTAAAGCCCCAGTTGCTAAATCCTTCAGGTCTGCTCCTTTCAAAAATAACCTCTTTGCTTTTCTTTTCTTCAGGATCACCCACCTCCTCTTCTACTGTGTGATTGCTTTTGTTGTTGTTGTTGTTGTTTTGTTTTGTTTCTGTTTCTTCCTAGCCAGGATCCCTCATTCCAGAGCCTCCTTGCTTCTTGCCAGTCTTCCTTCTGGGGAGCTGGAGTCATGGCCCTTCCTTTTCCTGCACTTCCAGTTTGCATTCCCTCTCCATACCCCTCTGTTCGATCTCACAGCACACATACCTTTAGGCATACTTCTTTCCCTGCTAAAGAGTAAGGTAGCTGGGCCAAATTGACTTTAAAACCTAAATCTAAGGCCAACCATGGTGGTACACATCTACAACCTCAGCACTCAGGAGGCTAGGGTAGAAAGATTCCTAGTTAAGCAAGCCTGGGCTGTATAGCTAGATCCTACCTCAAAAACAGACAAGCAAAAGCCTAAACTTAGGCTCTAATGGCAGCCATTTAAAGATGCCACTGACAAGATCCATCCATACCATTGTAACTGGCACCTAACTGAGCAAATGAGGCTGAGTGTGGTAATGCACTTCCATGTCCAAAGCTCTCCCACCCCATCAGGAGGGATTTTGTTCTGTCTTAGGATCCTAACAAAAACCCTTACTCTGGCTGCTGGTCCCCAATTGCAACATGTTTGGTGGGAGATGTTGCCAAGCTACTGCCCAGTCCTGGCTTGTATTTCCCCTTTCCCTGGTTCTAAGCAGTTCCTCCCTTCACCTTTACACTTTAGTTTGGGGGAGGTAAAAGCCCTAGAAAGCAAACATTTGAAGAATTAAAGGGCTGGACTTTTGGAACAGTAAACTTGGAATACAGTTTCACTGTGGAAGTTGGACCCTATAACACTCTGAACTCCTAGGGAGGAGCCTCTACCTTCTTCATGGGACTGGAACCCTCCCAAGGGCAGCCCTCACCTCCTACAGCTTCAGCCCGCAAGCCACTGAAACGTGGTGAAGTGTTTTTTAGCTCACAGTTGGTCTCCACCCCTAAGCATTTCATGGCTTCTCCAGAGGCTCTATACACAAGAACAAGAATCTGACTCAGGAGGTGCCTGCCTTCTAGGGGTGCAGTCACAGGATCCCAGCAGATCTCTGAAAGATAAAATCCCTTTCTGTTTGTTCCTTGTTACTTAGGGGGTCAAGGAAAAGGGTGGTAGCTTAATTAAGACTCCAGACCATTGCTACTGCGGGAAATCGGTGATATTAATTGCCTCCATCCCTAAGGAGCAAGCTGCAAGCCAGAGGGTTGCTCTGATAGGCGGGTAGCCGGAGAGCTGCGACCTCCAGCACCAGTCTGTCAGGGAAGGCCTCCAGAGCTTAAGTGATGCAGCGAGTGAGATTCTGTCTCGTGGACCAGCAGAATCCTGAGCTCCACTGCAGCTAGAGGAAGCATTGAGAAAGACACCTCCTCCAAACCAAGCCATTCAGTCTAGTGGTCTTTTCACTAAGGCCAACTGTGTGTGGACTATACTGCCCATTCTTCTTTACATACGTGTTAATTTCCTGGAAATTTTGCAAACAAGCAAACAATTAGTTGACTTAGTTGATTTAGAGGCTCCTGAGCCTTACATTTCACTAATATATACTTTGTTTCTAGTATGTCAAATTGCATGCCTTATTTTTAAGAGTACAGGTCAACATAAGGAAAAACCTTAGCTGGGCGGTGGTGGCGCACGCCTTTAATCCCAGCACTTGGGAGGCAGAGGCAGGTGGATTTCTGAGTTCGAGGCCAGCCTGGTCTACAGAGTGAGTTCCAGGACAGCCAGGGCTACACAGAGAAACCCTGTCTCAAAAAAAAAAAAAAAGAAAGAAAGAAAAAGAAAAGAAAAACCTACCTGTTAGTGGTGGGGAGAAGTTCTTTTGCATTTTAAAGGCCTTTGGACACTTGTCATCCTAGGCTACAGGGAAAAAGAAAACCGAATCTGACCTAGGTGTTTGAAAATCCATAGCAAATTTTTCCTTAAATGTGGTTTGCAATTACTGCCCTCCCCCACCCCATCCTCACCTGCTGCTCTGGGTTTGAGGGAATATCTCTTTTGCTTTCCTACCCCTCTCCCCAGCCCTCCTGACCCTGCCTTCCTCTTCCTTCTCTCTGACTGTGGAGCAAAGCTGTCTCACTCTCTGATTCTTTGCAGATTGAAGTAATTAACCAATTCCAGACGGGAGCCTCTTATAAGGGAGTCCTAAGGCGACAGAACATGACTCAACACCTTGATGTAAAACCGGTTATTAGCTGCTATTCAGAAGCAGTTGCATCAATCAGAACCTCCCCCTCCATCTCTTCTGCCGTTACATCTCCTCCTGTGGGCAGTGAGTGAGAGTATATTACAATGCATGATTTACTAAAGCGACCACAAGAGAGCACGTGGCATCCACTTTAACCAACCGTGGTTACTTGTCCCTTTTGAGTCACCCACCCACCCACCCCTTTGAACTTTTGACTTAAGGGAAGAAAAGAAAAAAAAATTCTCCCCACCCCACCCCAGCTAAAACTAGGCTGGACACCCTTTCATTTTATTTTTTTTAATGTTGGAAAGTTATTAAACCTTAACTATTTTAAAGACAATAACCCTGTTTTCTGATTGTCCCTCTGCATTGCTTGCTGCCTCTTTCCTTGAATTGTTTTGTTTTTCTTTGTTTCATTCCAGTTCTGCTTGTTACTTTGTTCCTCCTCTCCTCTTCTAACTCTGCCCCTTTAGATGTGAAGTTAGTCCCCGGAAGGGCTAAGAACTCTGTGTACTCTGTGTACTCGGGGGTGAGGGAGCCTCTGCCCACGGGGCACTTAGCCAGGGTCTGTCCTAATGGAGCCAGTGCTGAACTTGTTCACTGATTTACAGTCCTTGTGGCTACCAATGTACTGTTTGTTAGCTGGCAACAAAAGTTGAAACTTAGATTGGAAAGAGGAAGTCAGTTCAATGGTGGTGTCTTACCTCTCAGAGATGACCTTAAATCCAACTCTAGTTCCAGAACCAATTAGTGCATATATGAGTAAGAGAAGTAAAACTTCCTTTTGGCCCGCGTGGTGGTATACAGACAGCATCCCAGCCGTCAGGAGGCTGAGGCAGGAGGATTGTGAGTTCTCACCCTCCCCTCCTCCCTTCTCATCTTTTCATCTAGTTTGCTTGTCCAGTCAGCCCTTTGTATCAATGTACTGTAACAAACAGTACACTTTACGTACTTTTAGGAAACCCTGTCTATTCAGACTTAATTAGCACTTGTCAAGTTTTAACCTAGGACATCCTGCTCGCCCAGGTAAATTATTGGACACCTGCTAATGCCTTCCTGTTTCTGGCCTAGTTACCTTCCCAGAACGGAAAGCAGAGGGGAGGCAGGTAGCATGGTTTCCAGTGAGGGAAGATCCTCTGTCATCATACGTGTTACAGACTTTCAATACTGGACTTTAAATACTTGAGTGTCCGGTCCATCCCTCCCACAGCCAGCCCTGAGTTGCCCTTTGCCTGTGATCATATGATGGCGGGGCAGCTTTTCCAGGCTTTGACTTGGTTTTGCCTTTTAACTCCCCATCAGAGTTCTGGTATGAGTTTGGAATTGAAGGTGGGGCTACAGTGATACCTGCAGTTTCTTGAGGCCCAAAGGCAGGCCTGAAGACACTAAATAAGTCTTGCCCTGCAAAGAGCAAAAACCTCTCCTTCTAGTCCTTCCACATTCCTCTCCTAATCTCTTCTCTCTCTTAGTTCTGCCCGCCCTTTCTAACTAGTCCTGCGTAATCATTCACTTCTCTGGTAGAAAGAGCTAGTGCAGGCTGTCCTGGGGACTTACTACTGGCAGAGGACAGAGACCAGTGGGCTCAGAGGAGCTGGTAAACCATATACCCTGAGCCCCTAAAAGTTTAGACCAAAGAAGAAATAGACCACACCTACTCTTTCTCTGGCATTTCCCTTCCCTGGAGGTCTCAGGAGTTGCAGTTCTGTATTTTAAAACCTCACCTTTCCCATCCCAGAGTCTTTTAAATGACTTTGTTTGTGCATCCGATCTCCCCAAGGTTCCTAAGGCTTCCCTCTGGAAAGAAGTCCCATACTTCTCTACCCCTGGCCTATGAAAGGAGAGTAGAAAAGCACAGTATTCCAGTGAGGAAATGGCACCGTCATCAGATCAGCACTAAGCTTCCTAGTATGCTCCACACTCACCTGCTGGTCCAGTCTGCTTTGGGCTCCCTCCTAGTGAAAGAGCTACCCTTCAATCAGCCCCTCAAGAAACATTTCCTGGCTAAGCAGAGGAGCATGTGCCGCCTATCCCCATCCCAGCTCAGCAGCCCTCTTCGTCCCCACATACCGCTCACATACCAGATCCTGTGCTCCAGGCCCAGAGGATGCCAGCCTTGGAGCAGCTAGTGATATACTTACTGTGTGACTGACTGCCCATCAGCACATGTTCTCTGAGCCAGTGTTGGAGTTGAGCATTCTGGCACAGCCCCATGCCTCTATGCCTTACCCTTTCCCCTAATCCCTAAACCAGGTGGTTCTCCCCAGTTCCCTGACTTCTTGTTTGGGCTTCCTTCCAGGTGGCTGGTACCCCTTAGTCTCTAGAAGTCCTGAAGTCTAAATGGACAACTGTTCTTTGCTTCTCCCAAGGGTGGTCCTATTTTTCCCACTGGCATCTCCCTCTTCACTTTATCTCCTGTATTTGTTTGCCCACAAGAGGATTAATAATCACCCCAACAGGAGAAAGAACAATCCAGCAAACAAGTTCCAGACCCTTCCACCATAATTTTCAAAAATCAACTTCTTTTATAATGCCCATATAATTGTTGCAATAAAGTATCCAGTTGCAAAAGCAAACAAACTAAAAACTAAAAACAAGAAGTTTAAAGATATAAAGGTCCCTACCTTCCTGTAGGGCTGTAAAGGATGTAGAGGTGGCAGCATTAGATGAGAGTGTTCCTGCCCTGCAGGCTCCAGACCTGTCTCTTGGCCAGGGCATCTATACCAGGGCTAAGGGAGAAGACTGAGTTTGAGCTCACTTAGTCTATCTTGTCTTGCTCAAATACGTCAAGTATTGCTTACAGAAAACTTGGGGCCACCCAAAGACTTGAGGGAGCCTCCATTCTGCCTGATCTTACCCAGATCTGAACAGAGGCAACCTGACTGGTGAAATTCGCCACCAGGTGGCCGGGAGAACCACAGAAGGGTGGAAAGCAGGCCCTCGCTACTATTCCTGAGGTTCCAGATGCCTTTACATTTCTTATGTATGCTGCAGTGTTGATTTGACAGTTGAGTGGCAGAGCCCATTGCCTTCCAAGCTCTGACCACTCCAGTCATGGGTGGGTCTGTAGCTATAGAGGAGAGAGGCCAGGGAGAGAAAGCCTTAGCCAGAGAAGAGAGAGCCACAGTTCTGATGGTGAGGCTCCTGTAGGCAGTATCTTTTAGGGATCTGTAAAATTATGAGAGGACCGGGGACAGGAAACCCAGCTGGTTTATTTGGCTGACTGTTTGTGTGTGCTGCTACCTCCATGCTCTTGCTTCTTCTCTAGGGATGTATTTTTTGTTTAAACAGCAGATGAATTAAAGAGACACTCTTACCACCTGGCATCCACTCCTCCTCCCTAACCTCTGAACCCTAACAATTTCTTTTGCATTAATCTCGTTTCTTTTCCAAGGAAGAATGAGTCTGAACCAGACTAGGACTGACCACTTCCCCAAACAAAGGACACCATAGAACCACCAGCTTTTCCTGGCCTCTCTCTGTTTCTCTCTGGCATCCAACCCTCCCCAACACCTCATCCCAGTCTAACAACCCAGATTCAAAGCCACACTTGAGTGACATAGTCCAGACATGTAGAATTGGCAAAGCAAAACAGCAACAACAACAACAAAAAGAGGAGCTCAGGATTAAGCAAAAGTGGCCCCCAGGATTCATTGCAGTCAATCTTCCCTAGACCCCTGAGTGACCAAGTTCCTTCTTCTATGCAGTAGAACAAAGACTGACAGGGCAACATGTGTGCCCATTTACCCAGGAGCACTACAAAGTGTCTCCTTCATTCTTTTCAACTGTCCCGCCAGAAAAGCCACTCATTTGAAGCCAGCCTCCTGGATCAGGTTTCTCTCCCGGTCCTCTGCATCCCCACACAAGGTCCTGTTCCTCTTCACAATATGCAAATGGCTGGGCAAAGCAGCATGAATGCACACTTTGGGTTTAGGCAACATTGCTATGGATTGGACATGGACGTGCACTTGAAAGATGAACACCAGGCCTTCCTGATTAGACAGGGAAAGGCTTCTTTTCATACCTGTGTTTTATCTGCATCTTCTAGGGACAGAGGGCTTGGAGAGGAGGAACTCCCTTTTGTGGGGGAGGGACACAACAGAGGCTGTGGGATATAAAGGGATGTGCATGTCTTCTGAATGAACAGTTAGGGACTTTTCATTTCCCTGCATGCTGTGGAATGAAGATTGGTTTGTTTGCCTGTGCACAGTATCCATGGTCACTTGTCACCCAGTGTTTATCATGTGCAGTTTGGTGGACGTTGGCTTTTGAGAGGTTGAATAGATAACAGAGCTGCTGTGTGTAATTTTCCCGTCCCACATTCACAAGAGGTCTGGCCTCAATACAGAAAGTCACCTGTGTGAATTGCCTTTTAAGTTCTTCCATTAATGTCACCTAGTTCCAATATGCTGTCCTCTATCCAAAAGAACTAACCGATCTCTTGGTTTTTTTATTTTAAGAGTGGGTTCTTTGGGAATGCTAAGTTTGCTTTGTGCTACTTTTTGGAATGCAACCTTTGAGACATCCTCACTGGCTGCCATCGGTCACTCCACGCCCCAAGCTTGAGATATGAGGCGCGTGATGGTTTGAGTTGTTGAGCCATCGTGTTTTGTAGCTGGGGGTTTTATTTCTCTCCTCAAACCACTAATTTTTCTTGTTCTGCTTGTCAATTCTCACCTCCCCGTCTTCTCATCCTCTTTCTTATTCTCCTGGTTACAGATCAGAGTAGTCAAAGTGTTCCATAGTTTCCGAGAAACCATTCATAAATCCAAGAACCAAATCTCCATCCACACCTTCATGACCCAACCTGAATACGCCGCAGATGATGAACTGTCACAATCATTCCTGGAAATCCAAGAGGAAAATCCTGCATCGGTTTCTAAGTCGGGAACTAAAGAGCTCCTGTTGGATGGTGAAGCCGCTCCACATGACAACACAAATAACAATGCCGTGGACTGCCACCAAGTGCAGATTGTTGCCTCCCATTCCGATAGCCCTCTGCAAAACCTGGAGACACCGGTCTGAATTTCCATTCTCTGAGTCCCACCCCTGCTTTCCCTTTTTCTCTTCTTCTATCCCATCTGTATGTGATGGTGGGACTTGTCATTGTTATGTCAGCTGCTCCTAAGTGTGTGAGAACCCCCACCTGACTATGAAGAAGCAAGAGCTCAGTCCTACATGGATTCAGTCAAACTCTGGGCAGGTAATGGTGGATCCACTCCTCAGGTGTACCAGTTGTCATTTTAAGGAAATGGTGACAATCCTCTTGGCATCACCCAACCCAAAGTCTCCACAGCATTCCCACGAGTACCACCATGCCCTTCTGACTCGGAGATTTTATCCAATGAGTTTCTGCCATTTATATTTACAAGCTAAGTTGTGAGCCCAGTGAGAGACAAATGCCCAGTGTTCATGTTTCAGTAGAATGATTATTTCTAAACCATTTTTTTCCTATTTTGAAAATGTACACTCTAAGGCCTCTAGCTCTTTCTGCCCTTCGGTCTCCTTCAGTCTGATGTCCCCCAAGGTTCTTTGGATCTTATATGATCTCTCTCTCTCTCTCTCTCTCTCTCTCTCTCTCTCTCTCTCTCTCT